GCGCTGTCGAACCTCCCCGCCGAAGCGAATGGGCAAGAACGATGCGAAACAAAAAGAACTCACCGACAGCGTCTGCTCGGCCTGTGTGAGCCGGGGAGAGCGGGGCGCGCGGGCGAGAGGTTGCACTATCGCACGAGGACGGAGTGCGGACTGTATGCACTACCGCTCGGGAGCGGTGCGCAAATGAAACTCGGTACGGGCTCTAGGAGCCGCCATATTTAAACCCATTCTTTATCCGTACGGTATCTATGTCTAAAACCATCTTCGGATTATTGTCTTTCTGATGAAAGCGGTTTGGGGCACATCGATCGGATGGTTTCAGTCTATAACGGGGACATAGGTTGAAATATTTTTGTGTTTTATATATATAGAAAACATGCATTACAGCCAACGCCGTCTTAGATCATACCGAGGCCACAAGAATTTAGGGCCCTGTTGGAAAGTAAAAAAAGTGAAAAAAGAAAATATTTTTCGGCTGATCTTATATTTACATAGTTAATTGGTAATAATCAAATAATATGTAATTATTGAGGACATCCACAACTTTTTGTGCCACCAGGGCGGCGCCACTTTGCAATGAGGTAAAACATTTGACAGATTTCATAGCGGGGACGATAATTTCTTAGGAAAATGTAAACTTTAATGTTTTTTTCTAAGCTTTCTTTCAAAAAAAATTCTATAACAACATCAACACGTGTATTTTTTATTACATTAAAATTTTGACTTTACTTGTCTAAAAATAAGGATCGTAACTATAATTATTTGCTATAAAAGCAAATATTTGCGGTTGAAAATTATCATATTAAATGAATCATTTGCCGTTAAATCTTTTGAAGTGTTATTTTTATTAAACAGTACGAATATGGAGTGTACAAGTAAGGAGTACAGACTATGTATTAAAAAGTGTCCACAGAAAACCGTTAAATAAGGGTGCCGCCACTATAACTACGGGGTATACTTTAAAGGACGCACCGAAAAATATTAGTGGGATAGACGACTTTTTCGAGGTTATATTTACTAAATAAAATTATTTTAGATTTTAGAGCTACTGAGCAGTTTAGCAGAACTCTTAAACCGTCGACAACTGCTAAGTTTATTTCATCCCAGTAGCTACTCCAGCGCTGTTGTGAAAAGTTTTTGAGCTGTTATTTACTGCTTACAGATGGCCACTTTTTCAACTATTCTACTGTGGGAGTTGGTACTCCTTGCTTCTACACTCCATAAGTACGAATGGATATTTATATCTTATAGATTATAAATACTACATAGATTGCCGACAATTAAAAAAAAAATACAGGCTATAATTAAGGCGACTGTAAAGCCCGACAAAAACGTTTAGATGGGACAAAACGTACCACTGACCTCTATATATACGCGTACTTGTATATATAGATGTCAGTGAAACGTACATATTTTCTACCTAGAAAATCTGTCAATGCCACTTTTTCTGGCTAACTCAGCAATGTGTCACCAGAAAGTCACTAACAACCGTAGACAGAGAAACCTATAGACTAATGATTAACGTGGCCTCGAATGAGAAAGGACGATAACGTAGTTTTAGGTTATAAAATAATCTTTATGACTTTTAAACATATTTAGATAAAATATTTAATAGTTCTAAGAACTGAACTGAACAAGATTCACCAATCTAAAGCTCACAAAACACTTTTTTTCTCACTTAAACCAACTTGTAAATTGTAAACTCCTAAGATTACTACGGACTGTCAAAGTTATTTAGCAAACTGCAGTTTGCTAAACAAAAAAACTGGCACAGAGAAAGGGACAAACAATCACACCGCTCTGTCTCATTTCTAAGCAAGACGTATACATAAATCTATCTTTTTCGTGTGCGAATGCGAAAGAAGTCAATTTGTCTATAGGTTTCTCTGTCTATGCTAACCACGCTCTCATTTACTCTATAATTTTTATGTTGGCTTTTATTTTCCTAAAATAGAAAAAAGGTTGTATAGCGTAAGCGAATAAGGCCGATGACTTCATCACGGGGGCCCCCGTTGCCTTCCTGGCAGGGCCGTGTGCCCTTATGGTAAAGACGGTACTAATTACAGCCTATCAAAAGTACACTGCTTAACATAGGACGCATCTCGCATAGTTTGGCCCATATTTACCATAAATAGGGTTCCGCAAATTTTTAAAAGCATATACTCAAAAATATCGATACTACTTGGTATCGAGTAATATTTATAGAATATTAGAAATCGCAAGAAAATACACAATAATGATTCAGTTTTATATTCATTCAAACTTTAATTACAAAATATAGGTAATTACTAAACCTCTAATCTTGTACATCGCAATCCGACATGAAAAAAATTCAATCCAACCGTTTTTTTTCTATGAATTACCCGAAAATTTTTAATAGAATAGCACATTATAAGACTAACGAGATAATACTAATACGTTCTCATAGATTCTCATAAACTGCGTTATTTTCTTTTTAACATATACTACTGCGAACTAAAACGATTAATTTTATCCGCAATTGCTTTTTGAAGTGTAGGCGAATGAAAAATCTATATTTCGATCCAACTCCATACAATCGTCTTCTGATTCGGATTATCTGAAAATTCTAATAAAAGCCATTATGAACTCATTAGTAATCTCTTTATCAAAACAATAAGTCAGAACTGCCGATACTTTATTTTGCTTTTCCTTCCATTTTTCTGATCGTAATCCTCCCATCCTTGATACCTAGAACCTCATTCACTTTATCGGTAAATTCTAGTATCGCAAATCTGGATCATAATTAATTAGTAATAATGATAAAATCTGATTTTTTGTTCATGTACCAGATAAAATACAATGAATCCATAAGTATCCGGAATTTCTGTTTCAAAAACACAATAGTTTATCATAACTTCCAATCAAACATCGTATTTTATTAGGATCTATCAGGCTTTTTCCTCAGGGTATTTATTTTCGTAAGCACAGCCAATTGATAATAATCTTATCAGTTTGTTTAATTTTACTTACTTCCGTTTTTTTCAAGTTGGAAGTATTACCGCGAGACTTCATAATTTTAAAACTAATTTTACATTTCGCTGAATTTTGATCAACTTTCTTAAAATATTTCCACACATAAATTGGTCCTCCACCAGGAGGTGGCATTCTGAAGATGCAAATTATGCATTACACCGGAATCAGAAGTTAAAAACAATAAAATTCACTTTTATAATGCCCCTATTACACTACCCTGAATCAGGATCCTGAATTAAGGGTGGGCGTGGCCCCTAATTATGGTCGTCAGTTATTACACTACACTTATTTTTACGTCCTTATTCAGTCATAGGGATGGGCAAGTGAAAAAGATGTATCGATATTTTTGAACAGTGTCAATATATATTCGCGTGATAAATATCGTCATGTTTTGCGTAATGCAGTAGGATAAGAGCTAAAATTTTATTAATGAAAGTTTCACAACAGCACATTATTGCTTTTGTTGCTTAATACTTTGTCTTAGTTAATTATAAAATAGACGAGTACTCAGTTTGGATTGGTACTCGACCTTAATTATACTCCAGAGAAAAATTAAGACAAAAAGCCATTTTTTATCATTATTGTGTTAGACACATTAAAACATCAAGAACATGACCGCTGAAATATTTAGAACGTACATAAGAATCTATAGTAGAAATTATTATTACCAATATTTAAAATTTAAGTGAGGAAGATTGTGATGCAAAAACACTAGTTTTTCGGCCTTATTTGGGTCTAATTTGCTCCTTTTTGCTTCATATACTATGCCCACCTCTGAAAAAAGCCGTTTACTGTAAACTGAACTGGCGGGTGTTGATAAGTGTCGAGCCGCAACTATTCCCAAGATGGGGTAATATTCTTTACTAGAAACCCACCATTTATATGGATTTGCATCTCTTATGGCTCTTGGTACGCGTAAGTGATGATCTAACTCTGCTGCAGCGGAGTTCTTAAGATCATTATGTTGGCAACTGGTTGATACGTCAGCAGCTTCTTTCTTCTTCAAAAGCATGTTTTGAATGAATTTTTATGTGTTTCCTAATATCAATAATTTTACTAGATATTTTCCGATAAAACGATTTTTATAAGCAGTCATTTTCGCACCAGATAACGAAAACAATCTCTCGAACATGAGTTATTTGACAAGTAATCAGTAATCACTCATCAATAGTGTTCATGGGTGTGTGACTGATCGAGTATTACTTTTCTTTCGATACTACTTGGTACTCAGTTTTAGATTTTTAGACTCAGATACCAAAGTACTTGGTATCGAAAGAAAAGAATCAAATAAGTACTTGTACTTACTCGTATCGTTTCATCTATAACTCTGTGTAAGGGAAATAACCGCGCACCGCCCACTACCGCGTTTTTTTAAAGCCGAGTATTCGGCCGAATACTCGGCGTTCCATGTCTATTATAAAATAAATATAAAATTTTAAAATATATCTAAATTGATAAGACTTCAATACTCTGAAATAAATATCGATATAATTTACCGAAGCCAGCCAACTCATACACAGTCTGAGATTGAATCTTGTAGCGACTGAACGTCTATGCCACCTATATTATCAAACCAAAAAAGAAGTTGCTATTGCTACGGCTGTCATTGCGACAACAATCATTATTAAAGAAAAGAGGAAGAAAAGAAAGATATGGGTGAAGGAATATTTAAAGCTTAGGAATAGTCACTCAAGTATGCGGATTCTCGGAGTTCTGAAGCCAAATGAATTCAAAAAATACTTGGAAATGGGGGAAGAGGAGTTCGAGAAGCTATTAAGTCTAGTGACTCCATATATCGAAAAAAAAAATACGATTTTAAGACAGAGTATAAGTGCTAGGCAAAGATTATTTATTATTCTAAGATTTCTAGCTAGAGGAAATAGTTATCAAGGTATAAGATTTAACTCCTTGATTTCTCAACAACTTTTGTCCAAAATCATCTCAGAAACCTGTTGGGCTATTTATAAATGCCTAAGAGATTACATCAAGGAGAAGAAAATACTTAATTACTCCAAGTATACATCATTTTTATTTCTAAAATCACATATAAGTAGCTAGTAGTAGTAATAATAAAGATTAGTAAAGCAATAGTAATAAAGATTACATGTCACAAACTAAATTTACGCGGAAAATTCTAACCGCCAGGTATTTCATACATTGCCATTACACAACATTACATTTACATGTGGTTATCAACCGAACCCAAGATTTGATATCGCTGGGCTAGGTTGTTACAATGTATTTGAAATAATTCATTTTCTTTTTTTATAGAATAAGGGTGACAAACGATCACACAGTCCACCTAATGGTAAGTGATGTTATGGCTCATGGACACGTACATTTATCCTTGATTAAGAATCAAAACGCAGATGCGTTGTCACCCCTGAGGACTAAGATGGAAAGCCTCGTTTCCAGTAAAAAGGGTTTCCAGATCTCTACTCACCATACGAAATACAGCAGTATCAAGCTGCTATTTTATATAGTATAAGGGTGACAAACAAGCACACAGTCCACCTGATGTTAAGTGGATGCTGTGGCCCATAGACATATACATTTATTTTCAATTAAAAATCAAAATGCGTTGCCAGCTCTGAGATGGAATGCCCGGTTTCCAGTAAAAAGGGTCTCCGGTTTTCTACACTCACCATACGAAACACACCACCATTAAGCTGCTATTTTACAATGGTATTCTGTGAGAGCGTGGTCCTTCCCCGGTCAAGATGACCCATTCGTGCAACAACCAAAATATAGCTGCATCGTGGCTCACGCACGTATAAAATAAAATAATATAATAAATGTCACCTTCAGTATTATCACCTTTGCTGAATACATATATGAAACTATTATATTCCAAAATAAAAACAGGCGAATAACCGTTCATTTGTCAAAATCAATATTTCAAAAATGTAATTTTAACGAAATACAAAGTACCGTAAGCCGATAAAACAATTTCCGTTACAAAATAACTAATACCTTATAAGATTGTTCTGAAGCTATTGATTAAGTTAAAAATTAAACAATATAATTAATAATAACAAATGAATAAAAACTGTTATATTCATACAAATATTGAAAATGGATTGAAATTGTTCAATCCATTTTCAATATTTGTAAACTTATGTTAATTAATTATCACAATAAAAATAACTATAATTTTACATTAAAATAAAATTACCGATTGAAGACAATTGCACTTCTGAAATTAATTCTATTATATTTATTTTCAGTTGAAAGGCCATTCGTTTATTGATTCGTAATTAAAATTTTCGAGATTGAGTTATTTCTTCTAAATAAACCTTCTAACTTTAAAAGTTTATACGTTATCTAACTTCAACATTTCTTTATTTCGAATATTTATTTTTCGGCGGCATTTCGGAGCCTCGTGGCTCTGACTTTTTGACGGCAAGCTAGTGATGGTCGACTCGAGTAACTAACTCGAGTTTGAAAACCGAATGAAACCGACATGGAGAGAAGTTTGCCAATTATTTGAGACTATATTCATTCATAACAAACAAGTGTCACATTTATGTAGATTTGAGGTTAACTTTGAAGTGCCGGTTATTGTTGTAGTTTTTCGTGTTTTAAATTCTGTTTTTGAAAAATGCCGGGTCCTAAAATCGGTCTTATCGCACTTTGTCAACCTGTGTTTATCGAAAGGGGAATATCCTAGCACACTCAAAAAAGCTTTAATCAGGCCCATCTACAAGCAGGGGGCGCACTCAGAGTATGCTAACTATAGACCGATTGCTATCTCATCGGTCATTAATAAAATAGTTGAGAAGATGGTAGTCGGCCAGGTCAGCGAATTCCTGGAGCAAAATAGCATATTAGCGGATGCACAGCACGGTTTTAGGCATGGTCGTAGCACCACAACAGCACTATCACAGTTTTCCGAAGATATAAACAGTAGTCTGCACCAGGGCCATCAGGTCCTGGCGCTGTTCATAGACTTTAAAAAAGCCTTCGATACCTTGGATCATGAGATGCTGTTACAGGCCATGGATGAGTGTGGAATCAGGGGTCCAACAAATAGGTGGTTTCGGAGTTATCTGAGTAACAGAACATTACAAACCTGCATTTCTGGTGTTGCTGGTAAAGAAGCTGCGGTACAGCTTGGTGTTCCAACTGGTTCAGTCTATGGTCCCGTTGGCTACGTTATGCATGTCAACAGCGTCAGAAATGTGGTTAAAAAAATCTCGAGTATATATGTACGCGGATGACATGTGCCTTATATATTCCTCTAAGAATATAAAAGAGGTCAGGGCTGTGCTGCAGGTTTACTTCGATAATGTTACTCGTTGGGCTCATGACAATGGTATCTTACTTAACCTTAATAAGACGAAAGTGATGCATCTGTACTCACCGCACAACTTAGTGGCAAAAATGTCAAGAGCGTGGATGCAGTGTGCACACGTATGAATGTATGCACGATAAACATTTAAATTGTGTTTGTCAAAAGCTGGAGTATGTAAGTAGATTTAAGTATCTAGGTCTGTGGGTGGACTATAATATGAATTGGAAAACACAGGTTGACGCAGTGTGTACAAAGCTCAGGGCAGTGTATAGGTATTGTGGGCCACACGTATGAATGTATGCACGATAAAAATTTAAATTGTATTTGTCAAAAGCTGGAGTATGTAAGTAAATTTAAGTATCTAGGTCTGTGGGTGGACTATAATATGAATTGGAAAACACAGGTTGACGCAGTGTGTACAAAGCTCAGGGCAGTGTTAAGTAAGTTTTATATCCTGAATGCAGCGTTGAATAGGAAATCGTTGCGTGTCATTTATTTTGCTCTCGCCGAGTCATTACTAACTTATGGGATTAAATACGTATAGCCGTACATTTAAAACCTATCTTAACAGTATAAAATCGTTACAAATCCGTTTTATAAAATATCTTGTCAAACCACAAACAAAAATTGCACGTAAAGAAAATTATGAAAAACTTTTTGTTGCATGTAAAATGCTTCCTGTACATGAGAAGGTCAAGTACCAGCTGGTTCTTGAACAGTTCTATAACGACCAATTTAGAGAACAAGTGCAAAATAGGTATAATACTAGAAGCGTTATAGAGCGTAAACTCGTGCGACCACCAGTAAAAATTACTATGGGAAAAGAACCAATTGGCTGAGAGAAGATAATACTAGAATAAGTAAACAAACATTAAAAAATAAATTGAAAACTGTCTTCCTTAACGAAGTTGTTGAGAGATGTGAAAAAGTTAGTAAATCCTAATATTAGTAGTAGTTTCTAAAGACCAAATGTTAGTAATTCTTAATAATAGCAGTAGTTTTTTTATAATAGGCTAAATTTTAGTAAATAGTTCTTAATAATAGTTTAATACCGGTTTAAAAAAAATTAAAACTTGCTTTATTTACACTTTTATTTTCATTAGTTTATAGTTACGTATTTGAACCAAATGTATTAAGACAAGCGCTAATCCCGCCGACAAACTGTTACGCAGTTTGGTGGGTGTGAACAATGTATAAAAGGCGGATGGCGTTTGCTGGGACAAACTAACATTTGTCCCAGCAAACGCCATCCTGCGGTGCGCACAATCCTTGGCCTGGTATTGCCTGACCTGAAGCATATCAGTCTGCCGATGAGGGCCCTAGCCTTTGCGATACGTTCTTCAATTCTTATTCTCCAGGCTGGGATAGCACTACTTTGTCCAGTAGCGCGTCCAGCCGTGGAAAGTTTGGCGCCTATAATACGGCAGACTGCCAGTGCGGCGCCAAAAAGAATTGAGTCCGTCTCGCAAAGGTCCTGGCTGGCTTCCAAATAGGTAACCAGCATTGGGTTCAGAGCCCTCACGACAGCCCGATTCCGTTTGCTTAGGGCTAAGCGGGGAAGTCGCGGTCGATTTTCGAGAGGCGTACTGCGCGTTTCCACAATCGCCTCCTCCAATGTACTCCCCATTTGCTCTAGTTCCAGTTCCTGGGCGACTGTTCCATCATCGTCTGAATCAACCACAACTGGCGTGTTCACGGCGGCATCTACATTTGCCGTTTGCTCAGTAAGTTGTGGCGCTGCATCCTCAGCCGCAGCATTTTCACCCGATGAAGGAACAGCCTCACGTCGTAGCCGTTCGAGTTCGGTAACATCAAATGTATTTGAGCGCAAGATATACCGAACTCGGTCTGCCAGGTTTTGCTCGGTGACGGTTACAGATGGCTCCAGCTCAGCAAAAAGTCGATGCATCCTTGCCCAATACGCAAAACCTCCAGTTTCTCCCCCTTTCGCCCTAAAATACGCCCGCAATACGTTGCTGTTCATCTGGGTTGTCCAACGCATGCGGCGTACTCCACCAGAGGCGGGTGCCGATTGCTGGGGCCGCGAAGACCCTGCCGACACCAAGCCAGCTGGTGGGGATGATGATGCGAGGGGCTGCTGGGTGGTCGTGCAGCACCTCGCGCTCGGCTGGCGGTTCGCATGCTGTCGCGTCCAGCGCCAGCTCCAGACGCGCCCTGGCGACCTCCAGGCAGCGGCCCATATATATATATATATATATATATATATATATATATATATATATATATATATATATATATATATAATCATCCTTTCACGGTAAATGTTGATCCAGTGAGAAGTTAGAACAATTGTTGATCCACCTATTTGACGTGTTTGCTCAGCTCCTCGTCGCACAAACTGATATACTTTGATCCATTCTTGATGCGCGTGTGACGTCGGTGGATCTGCACTAACAGGATTTCAATATACTCGTCAGCGATTTGACCAACATTTGTTGATCTATCAACGGTCGAAAAAATCATACTGAATATGATTTTTTAGATCCAGAGTATATTTAATTTATATACGACATTTACTAAGACTAAGTGGATCCGGAGCCATAATTGACGAATAGGTACTCGAACATGAAGCGGCAACGTCGCGTTCTGTGTGTGACAGAGAACCCAGTAGGCTACTTCCTTATAGTAATAAGGTAAGAAAATACGTTATCTGCTGATTTTGTGGATCAAACTTTGGCAGGTTTTATTGCGGAAAGACGTTTGTTCGAGTTTTTGTTATCGTGTGAGTGAATTTGTGTTATTTTATTCATTTTTCATAGATCAATTAGAAGATGATGGATAGTACTTTATTACAAATTAATTTGTCACTCGAGTGTGAGTGTGTGTGTGTGTGTGTGTGTGTGTGTGTGTGTGTGTGTGTGTAAGGGTTGGGGGGTGCCATTTAGTTTGCGCGCGTGTGTTTGCATGTGTGTTTGCGTGTGTTTGTATGTGTGTGTGTGTGTGTGTGTGTGTGTGTGTTTTTTTTTTTATGCAAGTTTGTGTGTACGCGTGCGTGTGGGTGAATGTGCGTTCATGTGTGAACGCATGTGCGTGCGCGTCTGTGAGTGTAAGTGTGCGTGTGTGCACTGTTGTGTTTTTTTAGTACGTGTGTGTTTGTGTGTGTGTGTTTTGTTGTGTGTGTGTGTGTGTGTGTGTGTGTGTGTGTGTGTGTGTGTGTGTGTGTGTGCGTGCGTGCGGTTGTGCGTGTGTTTGCTTTTGTGTGTGGGTACGAGTGTGTACGTGTGTGCGTGCATGTGTCCACTGTTGTTTTGTGTTTGTGTATGTGCTTGTGCGTGTATGTCTGTTCGTTCGTGCGCGCGCGTGTGTGTGAGTGTATGTGCTGGTGTGTGTGTATGTGTGTGTGTGTGTGCGAGCGCGCACGCGTATGTGTATGTGTGCGCGCGCGTGTGTTTGTATGTGTATGTGTGTTTGTGTCTGTGTTTGTGTGTGTGTGTGTGTTTGTGTGTGTGCGCGCGCGTGAGTGTGTATGTGTGTGTGTGTAGGTGTGCGTGTGTGTGTCTGTATTTATGTGAGTGCGCGAGAGCGCGCGTGTATGTATGCGCGTGCGTGTGCGTGCGTGCGTGCGGTGTATGTGCGTGCATGTGTGTTCGTCTGAGTGCGTGTTTGTGTTAGTATGTGCGTGTGTGTGCTTGCGTGTGGGTGTGTGTGCGTGCGTGCGTGTTCGTCTGAGTGCGTGTTTGTGTGTGTATGTGTGTGTGTGTGTGTGTGTGTGTGTGTGTGTGCGCGCGCATGTGTGTGTGTGCCCAGAAAACGGAGGCGGAGAATGGAGACGTGGAGGCGGAGGTGAATGCAGCGTAGTATGTGGTGAAGGCGGAGGAGAGGAATTTGTGGTGAAGTCGGAGATAGTGGAAACGGGGAATTGTGTTGGAGGCGGAAATAATAGTGACTGCGCGTGGTGGTGGCGGCGGAGAGAGCGGAGTTTATTGTTGAGGCGGATTGAGCAGAGTTTACGGTGGAGGCGGAGGTAGCGGAGGTGGAGAACGAAAGCTTAGAGAGGGGGTGCGGGGATAGATGTGGAGGCGTAGGTGGCAGAGGTGTTGGTGGGTGCACTGGAGTGCAGTAAAGTGGTTACCGCGTGAGGGCAAGTGAGGCTCATATAAAGGACAGTTGGTTACAGCGAAAAACAGTGTGGCTGGTAAGTGGATATCGATACTGCCCCTAACGATGTTACTACGAGGTTATTCATTTTTCCGAATATCAGCTTGATGGCTACTGGTACTAGAGACAAAATGAAAAGAACTTTTGTTTTGTGACGGTTTCATCATAACTAACAAAGCAAACCCAAACTCAGCATACCTAGTTCTACTAGTCCAGGTGTTACAGTGTTAGTTACCGAAGTACACCTTCAGGTCACTTCAGCAAGTCCGGAGGTAAGGACTCATCATAACTAACAAAACGAGCCCAAACTCAGCACACCCAGTTCTACTAGTCCAAGAGTTCCACTAGTAATCCCGAATAACATTTTGAGGTCACTCCATCAAGACCGGAGGTAAGGTCTCACGATAATATCTCATGTAATAGTTCGATTCTATACCTATCAATTTTGTAAACGCGTCCTTAAAAATTTTGATTATGAAGATGTAGAAAACATGTTAACTGGTTTATGGTAAACACACACACATACATACACACACACATACATACACACACACACACACACACGCGCACAAACACGCAAGCGCGTGCGCAAACATGCACTCATGCGCACACGCACAAACGCATACACACACATTCACACACGCACACTGCCGCACACACACGCACACTGCCGCACACACACGCACACCCATTCACACACATACACACACACACACGTACACATACGCACACGCACATATATGCACACAAACACATACATACACACACACGCGCGCGCACATATGCACACAAACACACACACACACACACACACACACACACACACACACACACACACGCACGCAAACACGCACTCGGACGAATACCTTATGTCACAGTTGCCATCACTTCTGCTACATCAAGGGGCGTTGTCGAGTAATTCGTTAAAAAAGTCGTTTATTTCGACCACAAGGATCATAGATGTTAGTAATAATACAAACTTAAAACTATTTACCTAATTTTAAAACTATATATAAGACAGGCCGGATTAGTCAGCACGTGCACCATATGACAATGGTTCAGGTACTGACTTCAAACCTGTCAGAAAATGCCCTCAGGATACCATTGGAACTGGCCTGCACCCTACGTACCAGGGATGTGCATCGTTTACGCATGGTGGTGTAGAAACAATCCACACGCGCATCCGCGAACATACCCGCAATACAATAACGAGGTAGACCAAACAGCACCCTGAATGCATTACATAACACGCATTTAATATGTAGCTTGTACCGCCAAAGACACGAAACGGCAATGTCGCGGCTGCATACAGCCAATCTGATCGTTTATCTTATCGTTTGCTGTGCTCTGATTGGCTCATTTAAATCGGATCAACATTTTCCGTAACCATCGCAAGGTGGATTTGTATATCGGATCAACTTCGGCCAACGCTAGCAAACAGTCTCTTGAGTGCAGATGTTGATCCGGTCGGAGCCACATTAGTTACCAGAGATGCATATTGGATCAACAAAAGGCGCCGGATCAACATGCGTTTTCGGATCAACAAAGTGCTCGCGTGAAGTCGCGTCTGATCAACATTTACCGTAAAGATATATATATATATATATATATATATATATATATATATATATATATATATTATTATTATTATTATGGGGTATCTATATAGTTTTCTCATCTGGTTGGGTTCTATAAATATATAATTATAAATGAAAATGAAAAGATAAATATACATAAATATAAAAGTACATAAATAGATAAAAGCCCAACCAGATGGAGACCCTCGGCAGGGGAGACCAAACGGCCGAGGGTTAGGGGGAAAGGGAAAGAAACCGGTGGACGATGCGGGCGGTATCGAGGAGCACCGCCTTCTGCATTTGAACCTGGAGCGGTCCGCCACGTAGTCCCAGCCGCCTCAGATGACCCGAGAGGCTGACTGGGATTAGCTCGTTTGCAGAGACGACTACAGGAATAATTTCGGTCGGCAGACCACCCCACATGTCGGTCACCTCGTGAGCCAGGTCCAGATATTTTGTTTGCTTGTCTGTTTCGGCTTTCACGAGGTTCTCGTCATACGGAATGGTAATGTCGACCAAAAATATCCTTGACTGTGCCCGGTCCATCAGCACAATATCAGGCTCTGGATCTGTTAATGTATTTTTAATTTCTTTATGATGTATTTGTTTAGACTGATTATATCCTAAATACTTATACACTCCATTTTCCTCTAAAGATTTGATTTGCTGTCCTGTTTGCAACTGATAGTTATGTTCATAATACTGTCCAGCTCTTACTGAATTAATGTTGCACTTATCAATACCAAATTCCATTCCTATATCTCGTGAAAATTTTTCCGTTAATATAACTAATTGATCCAATTCATCTTGAGTAGTAGCATATAGTTTTAGATCGTCCATATACAAAAGATGACTAAGTTTTTTTTCTTCCTTGTTAGTATGTAGATGATCTTGTGTTCTATGGTATTGTAAAGAGTACCCAATGTTTTTTGAGTTTAACATTTGTGATAAGGGATTTATTGCAAGGCAGAACCAGAGAGGACTAAGTGCATCCCCTTGAAAAATACCTCTCCTTATTGCAATAATATCTGTTTCTATCATTCCATCTAGTGAGTTAATTTTAAGTTTCGTTGTCCAATTCGTCATCGCAGCCTGTAAAAATTGTATTATGTTTGGGTGTATTTTGTATGTTTCTAAAATTTTTTATAACTTAGTGTGCGGGATTGAGTCGTAAGCTTTCTTATAATCAATGTACATGCTAAATAAATCTTTTCTTTTTGATTGTACCTGCTTTAATACTACTGCATCTATTGTGAGCTGTTCTTTGCAACCCTGACTAAATTTCCTACAACCTTTTTGTTCTTCTGACAATATGTTATTAGCTTCTATGTGTTCATAAATGGTTTCAGTTAAGCAAGATGTAATTATTTTGTACAATGTTTGTAAACATGTGATAGGTCTATATTTTGCAGGATTGTCAAGATTACTAGGCTCTTTTGGTATCATATACGTTATTCCTGAACTAATGTATTGCGGCAACGTATCCGGGCTTTGTATGAATTTATTAACAAAATTAAACAGAATCGGGTGGATAGTTGTAAACTTTTTATACCAATAGTTATGTATATTATCTGATCCAGGTGTTTTCCAATTATGCAGTTTTTTAATTACTTTATGGAAAGTGTCTATCTTGATGTGTTGGAATTGCATGGCTTTAATCTGTGATGTGTCTATTTGATTTTTGATCCAATCCGCTTCTGTATTATAATGTTTAGGTTCCTCCCATATTGTAGACCAGTAACTGTGTAATTCTCTCGGTGATGGTAAGATATTATTTTTGGAGCTTTTCAAACTGCTGATTTTATTTTTAAAAGGATTTTTTATATTACGATAGAAAAGTTTTTCATTTGAGCAAAATAGAATGTTTTGAGTTTTTCGTAGAGAGCATGCTCTATATCTTTTTAACCGACTACTAGTAAGTTTTAGTTTTTGTTTAAGTGTGTCTAAAAAATGTTCGTGTTTGGTGTTATGTTCTTCGTGGACAGAATGAATTTTATGTTGTTCAAGTATAGAATTTACGTGTTTGATTAATTTTTGACATCGGTTTCCATTAATATATTGTGTTAGCCTTGCAATTTTTGCTCTTAATTCACTTACTTTGTTTTCTAATCTTTGTTCCCATTTTGGCTTATTATATTTCTTTGGTTTCTCAGGTCCTAACGGATTATCAACTTGTATAGCTATTTCAATTTTAGCTCCGTTGAGCTTAGCTGAAGTCCATTCTGCACAGTACACTAAATTCTGAAAAGTTTTAAATTCAATTTCGCTGTTGATATATTGTGGCAATAAAATATTGTTTACATAGTCAACTATTTTACTCAATTTCTTTGATGACCTCTGCTTTGGTATAAACTGTCTTTCTGTTGGGTTTGTATTAGCAAAATATTCTAAAGCTTTAGCAAACATTTCATCTATGGCAATTATCTTTTCCCAATGTAAATTTTCATTTTCATTTGTTGTGTGGTTTTCAGCATTTAAATCTAAATTTTCTGTATCTGATTCTTCGTTGTCTGTGATACCTATCTGAAGTATTGAGTTGTCATTGGCATGTATATCGTTATGCTGTTCTTGCAAGTCATTCTTAATTGATTCTAAGCGGTCAACACTTAAATATTTCTTATGTAGAATTAATCTTCTTTGGTCAGCTATGCGTTGCTCTGTTAAATGTAAAATTAAATGGGGGAATTGGTTTATAAACTCTTGGTGTAAGAGTTTCCTATATGCTATTTTATTTTTCTCACATTGAGTTATTTTGTAGTAAATTCTTATTATAGCTTCATTATATTCGTCTGTCCATTTCATGCGTTGTTGTGTTTGTAAAGGGTGGGTATTAGTGTGTTGATTATTTTGTGTAACAGAGATTGATTGGGAAAATGTAGTCTGTAAATTTGATTGCACTTCATTATAAATTTGATTTACTATTTCTTGGGGCAAAAGTTTGTTATTCATTATTGCTCTTCGCTGATCTCCTATTCTTTGACGAGTAACTTGCATATCTGGGAATCGTTCTATAAATTTCATGTGTAATGGTTGTAAATAACCTTTAGTGTCAGTATCCATCATTGTTAAATAGAGGTAAGTACGCAATATAAATTCATTCATTTCAGAAGTTCATTTTTTACGCGTGTTAAGGTTACTGATGGTGGGCACAGTTTCTATAACAGGAGTTATTTTCTGTGCATCATCCTTCAGCAATTGGCTACTTGATGATAATGAAGAAGATAAAGACTGGTGTCAAATGTTTGGTATTGATTTTTGTCTATCGTTTCCGGGGGTATATAAACTATCACTATCACTAAGGGTATCATCAGTGTCCGTGGATCTCGCTTGAGTCGTTTGACGGGAAATCTTCCTCGCCCGGAGATTGTATGCGCCCCAAGATACAGCACCATCTCGGCTTCCGCCAGAGTCGACATGGTTACTGAATCTGCCGAGCACTGGGGGCCGTAGTTTACGCCGTGCACTCATTTATTATTATTATTATTATTGATAAAGGACTTACCCCTCTATCCTTAGCCAACGAGCAATGGCAAGACCCGGCAGTGCAGAGCATTTCCGACCGGGAGACCGTATGAAAGGAGAAGGAGCTCCACGGGAGGTTCTACAAGGCTCTACATGAGCCTTTCGTAGACACAGTAGCCTCCCTCCACTGGCTGCGCTTTGGTGATCTCTTCGGGGGAAACCGAGGGTTTTGTCTGTGCAATACAGGATCAGGTTATTAAGTCCAACAACTATCGGAGATACATCCTAAAGGATGGCACCGTCGACATCTGTCGAGCTTGTCGCCATCCCGGGGAGTCACTTAGGCATGTTATCTCCGGTTGTTCTGCGCTTTCTAACTCTGAGTACTTGCACAGGCACAACCTAGTAGCCAGAATGCTACACCAGGAGCTCGCTCTGAAATACGGTCTCGTGGATCGGAAATTGCCGTATTACAAGTACTTGCCGGAAGCCGTGCTCGAAAATGATCGCGCCAGGCTCTATTGGGACCGGGCCATCATCACAGACAGGACTATTCTTGCGAATAAGCCTGATATTGTGCTGATGGACCGGGCACAGTCAAGGATATTTTTGGTCGACATTACCATTCCGTATGACGAGAACCTCGTGAATATTTTGCTAATACAAACCCAACAGAAAGACAGTTTATACCAAAGCAGAGGTCATCAAAGAAATTGAGTAAAATAGTTGACTATGTAAACAATATTTTATTGCCACAATATATCACCAGCGAAATTGAATTTAAAACATTTCAGAATTTAGTGTACTGTGCAGAATGGACTTCAGCTAAGCTCAACGGAGCTAAAATTGAAATAGCTATACAAGTTGATAATCCGTTAGGACCTGAGAAACAAAAGAAATATAATAAGCCAAAGTGGGAACAAAGATTAGAAAACAAAGTAAGTGAATTAAGAGCAAAAATTGCAAGGCTAACACAATATATTAATGGAAACCGATGTCAAAAATTAATCAAACACGTAAATTCTATACTTGAACAACATAAAATTCATTCTGTCTACGAAGAACATAACACCAAACACGAACATTTTTTAGACACACTTAAACAAAAACTAAAACTTACTAGTAGTCGGTTAAAAATATATAGAGCATGCTCTCTACGAAAAACTCAAAACATTCTATTTTGCTCAAATGAAAAACTTTTCTATCGTAATATAAAAAATCCTTTTAAAAATAAAATCAGCAGTTTGAAAAGCTCCAAAAATAATATCTTACCATCACCGAGAGAATTACAAAGTTACTGGTCTACAATATGGGAGGAACCTAAACATTATAATACAGAAGCGCATTGGATCAAAAATCAAATAAGCACATCACAGATTAAAGCCATGCAATTCCAACACATCAAGATAGACACTTTCCATAAAGTAATTAAAAAACTGCATAATTGGAAAACACCTGGATCAGATAATATACATAACTATTGGTATAAAAAGTTTACAACTATCCACCCGATTCTGTTTAATTTTGTTAATAAATTCATACAAAGCCCGGATACGTTGCCGCAATACATTAGTTCAGGAATAACGTATATGATACCAAAAGAGCCTAGTAATCTTGACAATCCTGCAAAATATAGACCTATCACATGTTTACAAACATTGTACAAAATAATTACATCTTGCTTAACTGAAACCATTTATGAACACATAGAAGCTAATAACATATTGTCAGAAGAACAAAAAGGTTGTAGGAAATTTAGTCAGGGTTGCAAAGAACAGCTCACAATAGATGCAGTAGTATTAAAGCAGGTACAATCAAAAAGAAAAGATTTATTTAGCATGTACATTGATTATAAGAAAGCTTACGACTCAATCCCGCACACTTGGTTATTAAAAATTTTAGAAATATACAAAATACACCCAAACATAATACAATTTTTACAGGCTGCGATGACGAATTGGACAACGAAACTTAAAATTAACTCACTAGATGGAATGATAGAAACAGATATTATTGCAATAAGGAGAGGTATTTTTCAAGGGGATGCACTTAGTCCTCTCTGGTTCTGCCTTGCAATAAATCCCTTATCACAAATGTTAAACTCAAAAAACATTGGGTATTCTTTACAATACCATAGAACACAAGATCATCTACATACTAACAAGGAAGAAAAAAAACTTAGTCATCTTTTGTATATGGACGATCTAAAACTATATGCTACTACTCAAGATGAATTGGATCAATTAGTTATATTAACGGAAAAATTTTCACGAGATATAGGAATGGAATTTGGTATTGATAAGTGCAACATTAATTCAGTAAGAGCTGGACAGTATTATGAACATAACTATCAGTTGCAAACAGGACAGCAAATCAAATCTTTAGAGGAAAATGGAGTGTATAAGTATTTAGGATATAATCAGTCTAAACAAATACATCATAAAGAAATTAAAAATACATTAACAGATCAGTTTCGATATAGACTTCGTTTAGTATTAACATCTCAATTAAATTCTAAGAATATATTTAAAGCTATTAACACGTTTGCAATTCCCATACTAACTTATTCCTTTGGCATAATACACTGGTCCAAAACTGAACTAAAAAAGCTACAACGCGAAATAAATACATCTCTTACGAGGCACCGTAAACACCATCCAAGATCATGCATACAAAGACTAACATTGCCACGAAATGAAGGAGGAAGAGGGGTAATAGACATAGTTAACTTACATAACAGACAAATAACTACACTCAGAAATTACTTTTATGATAAAACAGCAATATCATCACTACACAATGCCATAGTACAGAATGATCATAAATTGACACCGCTTAATATGCATGATAAAACATTGCAAAAAAAATGAGTTACTTACAGATAACAACACAAAAATTGACATATGGACCCAAAAGGCTCTACATGGAAGACATCGCCATGATTTGAACCAACCTACCGTAGACAAATTAGCGTCGAACGCATGGCTTCAACGTGGAGAGCTTTTCCCTGAGACTGAAGGTTTTATGTGCGCAATTCAGGACCAAATCATAGAGACACGCAATTATCAAAAGCATATTATTAAAATAAAAAATTTAAATACCGACACATGTAGACTCTGTTGTAATGCTTCAGAAACAATTCAACACATCACTGGTGCCTGTAAAGCGATTGTTCAGACGGACTATAAGTATCGGCACGATCAAGTAGCCAATATCATTCACCAAAAACTTGCCTTTAAGTATAAATTAACTAACCAGCCAACTCAAGTATACTATAAATATAAACCAGAAATCGTCCTTGAAAATACCACTCAAAAATGTATTTTGACAGAGCTATACTTACTGACAAAACAATACACTTTAATAGACCGGATATAACATTAATAGATAAAGCGAATAAATGTGCTCTTATTATTGACATTGCTATACCTAATTCACATAACTTACAGACAACAATTAATGAAAAAATTTCCAAGTACACTGAATTAAAACATGAAATTATTAGAATGTGGAATTTGCATAACGCCATTATAGTCCCTATAGTCCTCTCTACAACTGGTGTAATACCAAAAGCGCTTCATCAATCATTAAAAACTTTAGATTTACCAAAACTAACATATATTCAATTACAAAAAGCAGTTTTACTTAATACTTGTAGAATAGTTAGAAAATTTATCTCTACAGAAAACTACCCATAACCAAACAAGTTCATGGTATCCACTTGGCTTTGTCCCGTGGTAATAACCATTAATCCAGTTTTGTTAAAAACAAACTGAGAAAACGTAGAAAATATAAATAACAATAATAATAATAATAATATTATTATTATTTTTTTTATAGTTTTCTCATCTGGTTGGGATGTATAAATATATAATTATAAACGAAAATGAAAAGATAAATATACATAAATATCAATAAAATAAAATAAATACAAAAATACATAAATAAATAAAAGCCCAACCAGATGGAAGCCCTCGGCAGGGGAGACCAAACGGCCAAGGGTTAGGGGGGAAAGGGAAAGAAACCGGCGGACGATGCGGGCAGTATCAAGGAGCACCGCCTTCTGCATTTGAGCCCAGATTATTATTATTATTATTATGTGTGGGGTATCTATATAGTTTTCTCATCTGGTTGGGATGTATAAATATATAATTATAAACGCAAATGAAAGGATAAATATACATAAATATCAATAAAATAAAATAAATACAAAAATACATAAATAAATAAAAGCCCAACCAGATGGAAGCCCTCGGCAGGGGAGACCAAACGGCCAAGGGTTAGGGAGAAAGGGAAAGAAACCGGCGGACGATGCGGGCAGTATCAAGGAGCACCGCCTTCTGCATTTGAGCCCGGAGCGGTCCGTCACGGAGTCCCAGTCGCCTCAGATGACCAAAGAGGCTAACTGGGATTAGCCCGTTCGCAGAGACGACTACAGGAATAATTTCGGCCGGCAGACCACCCCACATATCGGTCACCTCGTGAGCCAGGTCCAGATATTTTGTTTGCTTGTCTGTTTCGGCTTTCACGAGGTTCTCGTCATACGGAATGGTAATGTCGACCAAAAATATCCTTGACTGTGCCCGGTCCATCAGCACAATATCAGGCTTATTCGCAAGAATAGTCCTGTCTGTGATGATGGCCCGGTCCCAATAGAGCCTGGCGCGATCATTTTCGAGCACGGCTTCCGGCAAGTACTTGTAATACGGCAATTTCCGATCCACGAGACCGTATTTCAGAGCGAGCTCCTGGTGTAGAATTCTGGCTACTAGGTTGTGCCTGTGCAAGTACTCAGAGTTAGAAAGCGCCGAACAACCGGAGATAACATGCCTAAGTGACTCACTGGGATGGCGACAAGCTCGACAGATGTCGACGGTGCCATCCTTTAGGATGTATCTCCGATAGTTGTTGGTCTTAATAACCTGATCCTGTATTGCACAGACAAAACCCTCGCTTTCCCCGAAGAGATCACCAAAGCGTAGCCAGTGGAGGCCATGCTCGTTGGCTAAGGATAGAGGGGTAAGTCCTTTATCACAAGAAATGACGTCCTTATAGAATGGATCATCCGATCTCGCCAGGAAGTAATCACGGAGGCACACTTCGCGATTATGCATGGTGAGCGCGCTCAAGAAGCCACGACCACCATGCTTCCGCGACAAGTACAGCCTCATTACCGACGATCTCGGATGATGCATCCTATGGGACGTCATGGTAGTGCGGACTTTTCTATCCAGGGCGTTAAGTTCAGTCTGAGTCCACCTGAGTATGCCAAAGGTATACATGAGGACAGGCATGACCCAGCCGTTATATGCGTGTGCCTTATTCACACCGGACAAAAGGCTGTTAAGCACTTTGGTCAAGCGTGCATAAAACACGTCGCAAACTGACTGTTTCATACCAGTCTCATCGATACCGATGTTTTGTGACATACCCAGGTATCGGTATGTTTCAGCCTCGGAAAGGGTCCTTAAGTTGACGGGCATAGATAAGTCTACGCCCTCAGAGTTAGCAACCCTTCCCCTTTCAACATGGAAGACCGCACACTTATCCGTCCCAAGCTCCATTCCAATGGAATTGCTAAATTCACAAGTGATGTTTAGCAATTCCATAAGATGGGAGCGACTGGAGGCGAATAACTTGAGGTCATCCATATAGAAAAGTTGGGTCACTTTTGTCCCTCCTTTCCGTAGCTGAAATCCCCTCCCGGAGCCCTCCAGTAAGGTACTGAGAGGGTTCAGAGAGAGGCAGAACCAGATTGGACTCAGACAATCGCCCTGGAAGATACCCCTTCTTATCCTTATGTGGTTCTCCGCAGCCATCATCCGCTCACCCAGATGACAAAGGATCGTACTCCACTGCCCCATACACTGCTCGAGGAAGTCTCTAACTGTACAGTCTATCTTGTACAGCTCGAGGACTCTCTTTAGCCATGTATGGGGCACCGAGTCGAATGCCTTTCTGTAGTCTATCCAGGCGGCGGAGAAGTTCCGACGGTTGCGTTTCACCACTTTGCCAATGACCGCGTCAATGAGGAGTGGTTCCTTGGTTCCACGACCACCGCCCCGACATCCATTTTGAGCGCGCGACATCACCTGATTTGAGTCCAGGTGACAAGTGATTCTCGCGCTCAAAATGGATGTTAGTGTCTTGTATATGGTCGGTAGACACGTGGTGGGGCGGTATTTGCTCGGGTCTGTGGTACCCTGGTCTTTAGGAACCAAATGAGTGATCCCAGTAATGAAGAGGCTTGGGAGCGACTTCTGGTTGAGAGCCTCTTGAAACTGTCGGGCGAGCACAGAATGACACACCATGAACCCCTTCAGCCGGTAGTGATGCAGCCCGTCAAGCCCCGGACTTTTCCAGTTCGGGGCCCTACGGACCGCCTCAGCTACGTCATCCGGCGTTATGATGACGGGGTCCATGGGCGTAATACCCGCACACTGACTCGCCACAACTTCCGTCCAAGGGCCCTCGCTGTGGTTTACGGGCTCTGACCACAGGCCGCGCCAGAATGCTACAGTGTCGGCCTGATTCGGTGCTGGACCCGTTCCACTTACCATTGGTCGCTCCAATGATTCATAGAGCCTCTTCTGATCACTCTGGAAGAGACGATTCTGGTTGAACCGTGTCGACCTCTCGGTATATCGCCGAATCCGCTTTCCCCAAGCAGCGATTCTCTGCTTCAGCTTATTATTATTATTATTATTATTAAAAGAAAATCTTTGGTTTGGGATGTATTTGAATCGCCAGTGAGTGGACGTATTACGTGTAAACAGTGTTCAGATTCTTTCAAATATAATGGAAATACGACCACATTATTAAACCAGATTAAAAATAAACATCCTAGATGTACCTATGTACATACCTGCATCATAATGTTAGTTTGATTTTATTTTGAAAAGACTGCTGTATGATTATATAGTTTGATTAATAATAAATATAAATACTTTTAAAAATTAAAATTCAAGCCAAAAATACATAAAAAATGATTATATTTCAAACAATAATTTCCTTTTTACTTTAGTTAGTATAACTCTTCCAATACATTATAAACAAATAATATAAAAATGAAAGAATTGAAATAGATAAAAATATCATTTGTATGTTCTATTTTTTTACTATTAATGCGAAGGTGAGGGAATAAATAGGTAAAATTAAAAAAAAAACAACATTAACTCTTCCATCTAGTTAACTCGAGTTCAACCCGAGTTACGTGAATTTTAACTCGGGTTAAATCGAGTTTCGTTTTTTCCGAGTTGGCACATCACTACGGAAAGCTAAAACATCGTTCCATGGAGTATAGAGGTAAGGAGGACAATCTCCATAGGAGAATAGTTGAAAATGTGTCCATCTGTAAGCAGTACATAACAGAAGGTATGAAATGAACTTAGCAGTTGTCGACGGAGTAAAGTGTGCTGATTTCTATTTGTGGTAACTAGAGTAGTTGATGAAACTGCAGTATTTAAAACCTCAACTACTTATTTTGTCTTAAATAATTTAGTGAATATAACATAGAAATAGTCGCCGTAAAACACGTTGAAAGTGATTTTGGAAATAAAAATTTTGAAAACAATAAAATAATTATTATAAAAAAACATTGGTGAGTGTGTGCAATAAAAAATTATAAAAAGTTCTTTAAAATTTACACTGTAGCCACCCTTATTTAGCGCTTTTCTATGGACACTTTTTTATACAGTTTGTTCTTCTTATCTCTACACTCCATACATCGTTCATAAAACATCGCTCATGAAGAACGATGTTTATGAAAGATATATCGATTTTTGAAAGAATTAGAATTGATCGTTATATCGTTTTCATCCCTAGTCGCGCATCGAATAAGTGCCCTAACTGCAGGGACTTAAATGGGACTTAAATAACGGTAAAATACAGTAACGTTATCAGCGCAAATGCGAGATAACGTTATGTTAAAGAGAAACGATATGTCAAAACGATATTATGCAAAGCTATGCATGTGTATAACGTTATAATTACGTTACAATAAATTTGTCAACTAAACGTTTCTAAAATATTGTTATCACAGAATAATAATGTTATAATTTATTGTTCTATGCTATCTCTTTTACTCGTATGTTCTTTTACTCTCTAAAGCTATAGGTTTTGTGATCGTCTGCGCACCAATTGAATTATCAACTGAGACATCAGATTTTACAAAAGTACATACAACTCGGAATATTAAATATATTTCTATATTTTTTTACATGTTTCTAACGGCGCGCTCTACCTTTGCGCGGGTGCAATTTTAAAAGCTTTTAATTAACTTGCAATGTATGTAACTATGTTTGTTCGGGTTGAATCTTGAAAGTCAATTTTGAAGATCTTTAACCCATTAAGCTGATTTGTATACACGTTTAACTTGGATGACAATACATGAATAGCTGTGTGACGTCGTTCTAAAGCCAACATGGTGGAATACCTAAGATGGCGGACTTGTTATTTTTATTTTAATGTTCTACAATACGGGTATGAAATGAAAGGACTTGTTGAGAATAAGTCGAAAAATAAAGTGACGTCACACAGAATCCAAGATGGTGACCTAATTTTTTTATGCATTCCTACAATATGGGTGTAAAATGAAAGGACTTGCTGAGAATACGATGGCGAATTAAAAAAAAATTAGGATGGTGATCATAAACTCCGCTGTCGACCATTCCGTTATATACTTAGGCTCGAAGCTCTTCGCTGCTGGTCAAGCATACGTGATCTTAAGTAGGGTAAAATCATTAGAAGGTCTCCTTATTGAAAAGCTAGACTGTTCGAAATTAACCGGCAAACGACGTTGTCACAATGATGCGTTAAATGAGATGAACAGACTGAGAAATCTGTCCAGCTATAACAAAAAAGTAAAAAATAAATTAAAAGTAATTTTTTTTAAAACAAGCTTTTATTTTAATGCGCTTAAAAGAATAAAATAAAACTTTTCCCTTAAAACTTTTACTATCAAATAAATTAAATAACTTGATCTGATTGATTTTAAGTTTTAAGATTTTCAAACTAATTAAATACGAGTAGTTAAATCTCGCGTCTTCAAATTTCTTCCCAAAATTTCAAAACACTTCCCGACGACTTTAGAAGCGGTTCTTCTAAAAATATTGTAATTTTTAAATGATACATTTCACCAGTTGCATCGCTCCTTCTTTCTAAAGTTGAAATGTTATGAACACGTTTTTCAATATAGCTAGAATTTAAGGAATCCTCCAAGCACTGACTTGAACTTGCAGCTTGTATGTCATTTGAGGTAGATGGATTTTCCATATCACGCTTGAAGAATTTTTTTTTATAGGATAGGGTGACAAATGGGCACACAGTCCACCTGGTGGTAAGTGGTTGCTGTGGTCCATGGACATCTACATTAATCCTCGATTACGAATTAAAATGCAAATGCGTTGTCACCCGTGAGGACTAAGATGGACTTCTTCATTTACAGTAATTTACGCTGTATTTACTACTTTACGCTAGTATTCTGTGAGATCGTGGTCTTTACCGGTCAAGCCGACCCCTTTTTTATTAGATTAAGCATCTTTCAACTTAGGTATCATTGCTATTTTCATAAAAATTGCTTCAGTAGTTTTCAAGATATGTTATATTAAGCGTAAAGTCGGTTTGAATTTTAACCGACTTCAAAAAAGGTGATTATCAATTCGACACGTATGTATGCCAAATTATAGGAGCTACAAAATAATGACATATGTTAACCTATTTGGGATTCCAAACAAATACAGATAAATATTATAGGTACGTTCATGTACGTTCGTATGTTTGTACACGGATTTCTTCGAAAATAGTTTTCGGATCTCGATCATTTTTTATTTATTTATTTTAACTTAGAGATTATTTGCTCACATTTATCAGTAGTCAACTTAGGGAATAATAACGATTTCATCATAATAGGTTCACTAGTTTTTATGAAATTGAGTAAAAAGTGTAACTAAAACTGAAATAGTTTTTACAATTTAAAACTAAAAATTAAGATATAAAATAGCTAGTTGAAAAAAATAAAACCAATTTCAAAAAAAAAAGTAAAAAATAACTGAACGAGGTATTTCATTTATTAAAGATTAGAATTTTCGAAGTTGGTGCCAGCTAACAATGCTTTAAAAAAAAACTTTACAAAAAAATGCTACAAAACTTATACTATATTTTTTATACGAGTAGATAATAAGAAATAATAATCTGAAAACCAGTAATTCCGGTTAACATTTTTTATCTATATGGTAGCAATAGTGTTATGTACTTAATAATTTTACATTAAATAATAATAATCCAAATTAACCCGGCAGAACTCGCGCCCTTAAATGTTACGCAAGCACTCGCGTATACAGCATTTTGCTCACGCTAAAGTCTTTTAAATACCTAAAACATAGCATGTGTTTTTTTTTTGTTATGAACATAATAATACACATTAGATTTTATGAATGAATTATTTATTGAAAGAAAAAACAATGATATACGTTTTTTTACATTAACATTTAGGAACTTACATTTGGCAGTCTTCTCATGTAGGGTTTGGAATAAAATAAAAACTCAACCTAAAATTTCTTAAAACAAAACATAATATCTTAATCCTCATCATATAACCTAAACTTACAAATATCACACAAAATTTTTGCATGTTCTGAACATAATTTTTTTTTACAGTAAACACAACCCTTTTTCGTTTTGCGATTTTTACGCCTTGGACACACCGCACATATTCCAGGAGGTGTTTCAGTTTCGGGAGCGTCTTTTTTGTTTGAAAATCGGGTTATAATAAGTTTAAGGGGATACAATATATTTTGCAAAGAGCTTCTTCGGTTGATGTGTTCTTGGATTAGTGTGAGAGACAGCTTTTTCAAATATTCCCTCCTTGTGATCAAATTATCGCAATTTCCGTGATAAATAATTTGACTATTGATACCTGCTATATTCAAAATGGAAAAAAAATTCTCAGTGGCCACCTACAGGCAACTCGAGCTACAGAATATTCTTGTATCAATCTATCGACAACATCTCCCCCTCCTTTTGTTTTATTGTAAAATGTAATTATTTCAGGTTTTGCGTCATCTCCAGTTTCAGGATCGATTCGGTCGTCATTATGAAAAGTACTAATCATAAGAACATTTTATTTTTATTTTTGTTTGGTATATAGGATACCAGAAACTTGCCCGTATGAAAACCAAAAATACTACTGGGCTTTGGTTTTATTTTAGTATTCAAAAACAGGTGGAATTTCCCTTTTAATTTTGCGTATAGTGCCAACCAAACGTACGTTTAGTCAGCAATTCGTCGGCCAATGGAATAGATATGTACAATAATTATCTGCTGTAATATTTCTTCCAAAATTTAGAATATCTTTTGATAAACGAGTAACAACAGCGGATGGGGAATTATCATATCTGTACGCACCATTTGGTTGTTTCCCTGGATAAATCTCTAAATTACTCGTATAATATGAATGCGCATTGTGATGCGCATTCATATTATACGAGATTCATATTATACGACATGTGATGAGTGCATACACTTTTATGCCATATTTGGCTGGTTTGTTAGCAATATACAT